AAAAAAAAAAAAAAAAAAAAAAAAATCTTGAGCAGACATTATGTGGCCAAAAGAAAGGAGAAGAGCTGACATATACAAAGCACTTACATATGACACCCACCTTGCTAAGCATCTAACTACTAGATCCAGTGGCCTATTGCATCCTGCTAGCTTTGCCAGTGGTTGTTGATTAAAGAGGTGATACATGTATAACAAGGTGAAAGGTTTGTGTTTACTAAGATACATGAGTTGGGCTTTCTGGAAAGTAAGAAAAGGCTTCCTGAATAAGTGGCAGAACATGTTTTCTGTGAGTATAATGGGTGAGGAAATGGATTTGAAGAGCACCCTGAGGTGAGGACTCTGAGTAAGGAGAGACAGTGGACCAAGGGAGCAGAGCAGAGGAAGAGCAAAACATTCTCGCAGAATCAGTAGCAGAAGCACTTGAGAGGGAAGAAGTCTGTAGAGGTCTTGAGAGTTGCTCTGTGCCTGAGAATCTGTGGCATTTGTGTGGCTCTTGATTACAGTGTGATGCAGGACTGTTGAAGACCTTCTGTTACAATGTGAAGTCTCAGTACACAGGAAGTGTTTCGTATGCATTAGAGGTTACTGGTATCTTTATGACCACAATTCATCTCAGCATCCAGAGGTCTCTTTCCCCATCACAGGAATAGGCACCTGAGCCTTTGGAAGGCTGGATGGAGGCCATCATTCAGAGATCAGAGGTGGGAAGGCTTGGCTGACATCTCACTTAACTCCCATACACTTCTCTAAATAAAGAGTACAGTGGTACACTGAGGTACAGCCTGGCAGAAGGAAAATCAGGGGTCCCCAACCATTGACAATACTGTGGAGGAGGGTGTTGCTTAAAAGTCTGGTGGGGTCCATATGGGGAGGGAAGGTTTTGGGCTCTTAGTGTGGGAGCAGCTCTGAGTTTCAGGCTGTGGACTTCAGAATGGGCAGTGTTTCTGAATCTCCCTGTTGTAGGTTAGATCTAAAATATCTCCTCATATTCTCTGGTATTTAGAGGTGGGACTTTTAGAAGCTGATTAGATCACAGGGGCACTATATTCATGAGAAGGTTGTCCATCAGTGAGTTCATGGCTGAATATACTATCAGGAGGTGAGGCCTTGTTGGAAGAAGGTCACTCGGGGAGTAATCTAGAAGAGTGTTTTCTTGTCCCTGGCTCCTTCATTCTCTGTTTTCTGGCTGCCATGGATTAAGCAGTTTTCTTCTGCCCTGCCCTTTCACAGTGATGTTTCTGCATTGGACCAGGCCAATCTTGGACTAAGTCCTCTGAAGCGTAAGCCCAATCAAACCTCTTCTCCTTGTGGGTGTTCCATATTGTGTTCAGCAACAGGAAAACTCAATACAGAAAATTGGTACCAGAAAAGTGGAGTCATTGTTGTGACTGTATCTGACCGCATGGTTTAGAAGCCCAAAGAAAACGAGTTGAAACAGGAGCACCCAAGGCAAGGCTTTATTGGGAAGGTGCTGCTGGGCTACCTTGAACAATGGTGAGAGAGCAAGACTAACTGGGGTGGGGTTTATATAGTGTGATGCAGTAAAGTATCGTGAGAGTTGAGCAACAGGACACTGGGTGATTGGAAGGGGAGGATCATGTGGGTAGCAGGGTGGAGCGACAAGTTAGGTTTTGCTTCTGGGGGGTGTGTGGGTAGGTTTCACTCTCCTCCACCCAAAGTGGGTCATTTCCATAAGCAGGAACCATTTTAGAATGTAAGACCATTGGGGCCATTTTGTCGGGTAGAGAACTTTATCAGAAGCCTTTGGAACTAGTTTGTGGCGAGAGTTTAGGAAAGTTTGGAGATGCAAACTAGAGGAGCCTTTAAATGCTGTAAGAAGTGCTTGATGAATGATTCTGGTTGGAGCTCAGAAGACCAGAATGTTGACACTGAAGGCCAGGCTCATGAAGTTTCAGTTGGGAATAAGAGCTCTGTTGGAAACTGGGCTAAAGACCCTGCATGTTATATGACAAGGAACTTGTCTAGATTTTACCCATGTCCTGAGACTTTTCAGAAGACTGAGATTAAGGGCAGTGGACTAATTAATCTGGCGTAGGAAATTTCAAGATAATCCAACATTCAAGCTGTGGCATGAGTACAGTTTACTGCTTTAGTCAGATTTATAGTTAGAATTAGGGTAAAGGGCAGAGAAAAAACATTTGAAAAACTTAAATCTTGGCCGCAATGACTTCACATGTAGTTAGGTCAAATGTAGGTGTAGGGTATCTTAGGAAATAGCCAGACCCCACCAATCCTGGCTCAAGGTAATGAAGGACAAACTTTGAAAGACTTTGCTTGAAGAAGAGCCCCAAAGTGCCTACTTGTTCAGGGCTGCCTTGGTAAGTATTTCCCTAAGTTCAGCCACCCAGGCCCTCAGAGGCTACTGCACCCATAGTCCAAGAGAATAGGTTACAGCTAGACATGGTTGCAGACTTTGGTGTCTTCCATGTGGTGCTGGTTTTATCAAGCATGCAGAATATGAGAGTTTTGGAGTCATAGAAGCTTTCACCCAGATAACATAGGAAGGCCTGAGAGTTCAAGCAAAGTGCCCTTGAGAAGGCAACACATTGAGAACCTAGGAAGTTGGAGGTGTCAGGAATGCAGATTGTCTGCTAAGCCATTGGTGGTGAGCACAGCCAGGTAAAAAGAGGCTGTGTGGGCTGCAACCAGCAAGGCCATAGGGGCAGAGCTGCCCAAACCCTTTGGAGTTCACATCTTCCTATGAACTGCTAGACATGAAGCTACATGATTTAATGTTTGCCCTGATGGGGTTTGGTCTTGCTTTGGACTGATTCCTTTCTATCCCCCTATTCCTTTTGAATGGGAATGTTTACCCTGTGCCATTGTATGTTGAAGTATTCAACTTTTTTTTTCCTGTATTGGGGATCAAACACAGGACCTTGCACTTGCCAGGCAGGTGCAGCACCACTGAGCTACTTCCAGGGCCCTCTTTTTTGTTTTTTGCAGGGGTTTACATCTAAGAATTTAAGTCTCAAAGGAGATTTTATTTTTTAAAAATTTTTATTGAGTTTATTGGTACAATCTAGGTATACAATACAATGACATTCATTATTGGGATCCTGTACCTTTACATGATAGATCTTACTTCTCATTTTTTCCCCTTGTCCCTGTCCTCCCTTCACCCCCTCCCTTCCCCATTTACAAACACTTTATTTCCATTTTTTCATTTTCTCATATTTTTTTCCTCTCCCTTATTACCTTTCCCCCACCATTCCAATTTTCCTACACCTTTAGCCCTTTACTTCCTATTTCACATTATTAATTATCTCATTAGGATCTTGTGTACTATTATAGTTTTTCACACCAGAGAAATTATTCAGTATTTCAGTTAAAGAAATCTCTATATGAACATTAAAAATAGGGAATCCAAAAATAAAACTAAAAAGGAAAGTAAAAGAGAAAAGGCAATGATGTAAAATTAAAATAATCCTTAATTCTGGAGATGAAAATGGTCCCTGAACATATTTAAATTGCTTCTTGCTCTTATAATCTTATATTATTCTTTTTTTCATTGTTTAGAGAATATTAGTTTCTGTAATCAAACTCACATAGATATGACCTTACATATTTAATACAGTGCATTGCCTCTGTATAAATGGAAAAAAAACCTAACATTTCTAGACCAATATGGCTGTTAATTTCTGTACAATGCCAACTCAACACAGTAAATTGGGATAACTTTTTCCAAAGGTGACAGCACAGTTAGTTTCCAAAAATTCAAATTATATGTGTGTGTGTGTGTATATATGTATGTATATATATATTTATATTTATATAAAAAGACCAATAATAGCAGTATGTTATGCATCAATAGCAGCAGCAGCTTTTCCAGGTTCTGCAGTCATCTGAACAAATTTATAGACATTCAGCACACTCCATTAAAAAAACAAAAACAAAAAAACAAAGAGAAGAATGATACCCAGAAAACAGCAAAGTTCTGTTGCTGTTGTGGTACCTGGCACCATTTTTTTTTTATTAGCATCTTAATCATCATCTGGAAAGAGAACATTCTGGAGTAATATCATTAA